CTTTCTTCCTTCCTTCCTTTCTTTCTTTCTAATATATATATATATATAAATAATGGTATACAGGGGGTCATGGTGCAGAGAGGGTGGTCAGATCGATGGAATATCACAATCCATGTCAAATCCGAAGAAGTGACTAGCGGTTCTGGTTTGAGGTCTAGTAACTGTTCTTCCTCTTTTGGGATAGGGCACTTGGTCAGCCGTAGCTGATTGACATGGCACTTCCATATCATTGATTCTGCCCGGACGTTTTAAATCACCTTACGGATTCTTTTAGGTTGACTCCAACAGTCCACTTTCGGTGCCCAGGGCGATAGTCCCACACAAGCATACGGTTTCCAAACTGGAACGCTGGTTTCCCTCCTGTCGGTAATTGGGGACACGTAAATGTTGGCTGGGCATGTAGCGGACATTTCCATGTCCCCTCAACCAACTTCACTTAATTTGTGTAGCACATCCGAGTTCACTAGATTATGCGACTCGCCCGCTCCGCAAACACACAGACTCGCGCGCGCGCAGGGAACAAGGATTCACCCGAACACTCCAAGTCCACGGACAGTTATGGAATACGTGTAGCAGCCAAACTGCGGAGAAAACGCGTTCCCGCCGTCCGGACTTTCACCAAGGGACTCTCACGTACGATAAGTTCCCTTTTTTGACTCGCTCCCATTTCACACTGTATTTATTTTTATACGTATCGCAACCATGCTAAAAACTTCTATTAGTGCACATACACCTTCTGATTTGTATTATGGCAATCACCACCTGTGCACTGATAGGCATTATCGTGAATAAGTCTCAGCCGTGTGTTCATCATAACCTCTACCGGAGACGGTGGGGTTTCTCCATAATTCAACAGGCACGTATCTAAGACTTCTGTCATACCCGTTTCCTTCTGCTTTTGTCAACGCGCGTTTAAAGATGTCTACGGATCGTTCAGCTTGACCGTTGGATTGGAGATGGAATGGTGAGGAAGTAACTTGCGCGATACCGTGTCTCCGAATGAATTCACTAAACTGATGGAATTTGAGCTGAGTACCATTGTCGGACTCAATAGTTTCTGGGATACCGAATACTGAAAACGAATGATTCAGTTAATGGTAGCTGCCATCGTTGTCTTGGACATAAGAAGGACTTCGGGCCACTTGCTGAATGCATCGACAATGATGAGGAAGTTTTGTCCGTTAGTTGGTCCGGCAAAATCCACATGGATGCTCGACCATGGTTTTTCTGGCTGTGGCCATTTGGATTGCTGGTACTCCGTTGCCTTCTGTAGTACAATGTCATTTTTGATGGCGTTGCGGACCGTGTCAGAAGTCACGAATAGTTGGTTCGTGGTCTCCAACACAAAACGGCCTTCCGGTCCGATGGCAACGGTTGCTTTAGATCGTGCTTCCGACTACTTTCGACTGCTTCGTGACCCCCGAGTTTGGCTGTGTCTTCGACTTTCCGCGTCCGGTACTGACTTTCCTTGTGCACATGTCGATTGCACAATGAACACTTGTGCTTTTTATTGACGCACAATCGCACAAATTGCCATTCGTTACATTGCTTTGCACTAATAGAATTATCGTGAATAAGTCTCAGCCGTGTGTTCATCATAACCTCTGCCGGAGACGGTGGGGTTTCTCCATAATTCAACAGGCACGTATCTTAGACTTCTGTCATGCCCGTTTCCTTCTGCTTTTGTCAACGCGCGTTTAAAGATGTCTACGGATCGTTCAGCTTGACCGTTGGATTGGAGATGGAATGGTGAGGAAGTAACTTGCGCGATACCGTGTCTGCGAATGAATTCACTAAACTGATGGAATTTGAGCTGAGTACCATTGTCGGACACAATAGTTTCTGGGATACCGAATACTGAAAACGAATGATTCAGTTAATGGTAGCTGCCATCGTTGTCTTGGACATAAGAAGGACTTCGGGCCACTTGCTGAATGCATCGACAATGATGAGGAAGTTTTGTCCGTTAGTTGGTCCGGCAAAATCCACATGGATGCTCGACCATGGTTTTTCTGGCTGTGGCCATTTGGATTGCTGGTACTCCGTTGCCTTCTGTAGTACAATGTCATTTTTGATGGCGTTGCGGACCGTGTCAGAAGTCACGAATAGTTGGTTCATGGTCTCCAACACAAAACGGCCTTCCGGTCCGATGGCAACGGTTGCTTTAGATCGTGCTTCCGACTACTTTCGACTGCTTCGTGACCCCCGAGTTTGGCTGTGTCTTCGACTTTCCGCGTCCGGTACTGACTTTCCTTGTGCACATGTCGATTGCACAATGAACACTTGTGCTTTTTATTGACGCACAATCGCACAAATTGCCATTCGTCACATTGCTTTGCTCCGTTCGAATTCACCATCATGGGATGTTGCCTGGAAGTCGTATTGGCAATACTGAAAGCAGGGATGGATAACGGTCTCCCCAACTTGGTTGTGTCGTGTTTGCGATTCAGGAGGCATTGGCACCCGTGAGTAATGTACTGCAGCGTCACCTCAGGAGATCGTTTCATTTTCGTTCAATAACCTCGCCCTGATATCACTCTCTGAATGCGACTGAAGGCCACAAATGAAGAAAGGACACTTGGACTGGCCTTTGATCAGGGTAGATAACTTGGATTGCTCACATTCAAGATTGAGTCTACCAGCATAAGTGAGATAGTCTTCAGATTCCTTTTCCTCTAGTCTAGTCTATTGGCAACAAATATTAAACAAAGACAAATGCTCACCGAAAAGTGTTGAAAGTTACTACACGGTTTTTTCTGAAGTGAGATTTCTCGTGTTCTTTGGCAGGATGAATTTGGAATGCCGTGTGTGTTCTGCTGTACCAAGCTTTATGAGCAATAAACGCATCATCTTTGTGCATCATTTCGGCCGTGAAAATACCTCCGTAACGTCTGGACCACAAATCGAAAGTTGGACCAGCATCAGGGTCATAATGGAACTCAAACATGCTGTTGGCGTTCGAGTCGACTTAATTTGCATCTGGATCGGAATTAGGCGGTTGGATTTTAGGTTGCCGA